AAGGATCGGGAGTAACCGGTGCTCTCTCCTCTCGCCGTTCCAGGGTGGCCCCGTGGAAATCCTGCCCTTCCTGTACTTGGGCAGCGCGTACCATGCCTCCCGAAAGGACATGCTGGACGCTTTGGGCATCACGGCGTTAATCAATGTCTCTGCCAATTGCCCCAACCACTTCGAAGGGCACTACCAGTATAAAAGTATCCCCGTGGAGGACAACCACAAGGCGGATATCAGCTCCTGGTTTAACGAGGCGATTGATTTCATAGGTAAATGAGATCTCTTCACAGTCTGGTTTTGGTTTTTTTTCACTGGGGTAATGTGCACTGGGAAGTGATTTTTGGGCGCCGTTTCCCCCCTGTAAAAGCTGCATTTGAGATTGGGGAAATTTCAGATATACTCGGGGAACATTCCCATTAGTTTTATTCTACCCAGAGGCATAATCTTAGCTTCATAAAGCTGTTTGAAACCTGGAATCAAGAGGCACTGGTCGTGCAGAAAAGACATAGTGAATTTAAGTGGATCAGTGTTGAAGTAATCTTGCAAGACTGCTAAAGTGACCTGGAGGAGCTATTAGTGTAATTGGAATTGGAGCCCCGAGTGAAAATAGCTGCTTTCCTCAGGACAAAGGCTCCCTTTGTCTCCTCAGCTCCGGGTGCACCTATTAGGCTAAGGAAGGGATGGATTAAAGCAATGTAAAGCAGCAGCCTGTGCTTTCCCACCTCTGGAAGCAGTGGGACTTGTTTGCTAACTGTGCTTTCATCCTTTCAGACTCTGTGAAAAACGATGGAGGAAGAGTGTTTGTGCACTGCCAGGCTGGCATTTCACGCTCTGCAACCATCTGCCTTGCTTATCTCATGAGGACCAACAGAGTCAAACTGGATGAAGCCTTTGAGTTTGTGAAGCAGAGGAGAAGCATCATCTCCCCAAACTTCAGCTTCATGGGGCAGCTGCTGCAGTTTGAGTCGCAGGTTCTTGCCCCCAACTGCTCAGCAGAAGCTGGGAGCCCTGCCATGGCGGTGTTGGACAGAGGAGCATCCACCACCACGGTCTTTAACTTCCCGGTCTCCATCCCTGTTCACACCTCGTCCAGTGCTTTAAGCTACCTTCAAAGCCCCATCACTACTTCCCCAAGCTGCTGAAGAGCAGGTGAAAACGTGGTCAGAACTCAGACTTACTGTCTCAGAAGTGCAATAACTGCAGGGACAGTGTCCTCAGTCACCGGTGGTTTGTGGGGAGCCAACGTGCATCCCAGAACAGTGGCATAAACAGAGAGGAGCTCACCCAGTGCCAGAGAACAAGGTGATCCTGCCTTCCCAAGCCAAACCTGGATGTCTACACAGAGCTCAAAGGACACTTGGCTCTTCCTGAGCTGTTCCTCCTTGTCTTCTGTCTGTCCTAAGCCTGCTCCATGTTCAGTAGCATGCTCAGCAGTATTCCCATTCCTGGACACTTTGAGCAACACTGATGCTGTTCCCTTTTGTATGACAAGTCCTATTTATTTATTTTTACATTAGTGCATTGTTGTTGGGGTTCATTTTGTTGGGGTTTTTTTTGCCTTCACAAACGTAAAGTTTCAGTTCTAGAGAAACCAAATACCTCAGTATTTTTTTGGTACTATAATCCTGTGTGTGTATATCTGTCAGCTCTTCTTGTGTCCCAAGCACTGACATGAAAGCACCAGGCGAGTGCTTTTTTTTTTTTTTTTTGTTTTGAGTTGCCAAGGGTTGTATGTTTGCTGATTTATTTATGATGTGAAATAATATATTTCTTCTTAGGAAGACATAGTTTTGTTACATGATTATAACTTTTTTTATACAAACAGAATAAATTATGATATTTCTATTGATCTGGATGATATATTCTTTAATATCTTATATTTCACAGTCTCAGGGCTCGTGTGGAATCTCCCTGGTGAAGAGGTGGAAGAAATCTGTGTTTTCAATTCTGTTTGTCTCAGGTCTTGACTGAAATAGAGAGAAAAAGGGATTTAAACAACATAATTGCCTAGAGATTATTGCAGCTTCTTAACCTGAGCTTTGCTTTGTCCCTACACAATGCTGTGCAGTGGCAGTGAGCCAGGGCTGGGTTCTTAGCAGTGAGGTGCATTTGGCTGCAGTGCTGGCCACAGAGCTGTCACAGCCTGAACCAGCTGAGACTTGGGCACTGGGCTCCAGTGGATTTAAAATAGTCCTTCTCCTAAGAAGGAGGACGAAGCTTCCTTATTCCTTGTTTACTTTTAATACTTCAAAGGTTAAGGCTAAAAATTAACCTGTTAGAAACAGATCTCTGAGGCTTGGCATAAGCTCCCGAAGTGTTTTCTTTTTCTGTCCCACCTCCTTAATTCCCTTTTGCAACTCAAACTGCCTCTGATGCCTGGAGTGAGGCAACTGGCATACTGGGCCCTCTCTGTAAACAGCTCAGGACATGATGAGAGATCAGGTAACCAACGAGTCACCTCTTTTCTTACCCAGACCCAAATAAATTCTTTCCTGCTAGAGATTATCACTAGACTGATTTGTATCTGGTGTTTCAGTTGAGGCAATGGAGAGAGCTTATGTAGCACAGCAAAACCCAGGAGCTTGAACAGAGCAGCTCCTGGGCAGGAGCTGCAGGGTGAGGGTGATGGGCAGCAAGTGGTGCAGGATTAATCCTGTGTGCTGTGACAGAACCGCAGGTCTCCGTGGGGTGTGTGGGGCATGGCAGCAGTACTGCTGTGACATCTCCATACCGGGGGAAAAGATGCAGCTGGAAGTTTATTTTCCTGGGGTAGGAATGCTGGTAAGAGGGAGGTGGATGCTGGGGGAGCACTAGGACATCAGGTTTCCTGTATCTACCCCAGAAAGGGACACAGCACTCCTTGTGTATCTGATATTCAAGGAGTCAGATTGTACTTTTGCCCCATCCAAAACGGTTTTGCTTGGCAGGTACAGCTGGTAATGGTTTTGTAAACTCAAGGCGTTTAACAGTCACGATCCTAAACTCGGAGATGGTTTTCGTAAGCATAAAGCAACTCTTGTAACTGGAGACAAGCAAAGCACCACAAACTCCTGCTGCAATCCTGCAAGTTACCTGGAGTGTTACTGGTGCTAAAATCCAGGACTCTTCTCCTGGGAGAAGGTGCCCTTGAAGGACAGGATGATGCACTGCTGCCTCTGAAGTTCTTCCACGTGAGCTGCCCCTCGGATGCAGCTCTGTCGTCAGCACTGCGCGGCAGCCGTCACCGAGCATCAACCTGACACCAAGGGAGAGAAAAATGGAGCAGCTAAAAGGAGGAGAGATCCCTGGGCACTGAGACATCAAGACACCTTTATCTTCCTAAAGTGAAAGCATGAACCCCAAAGTCAATCCTGCAAACCCCTTTGGTCCGTGGAAAGTCCCTTGGCACTGTGCACTTAGCATCGCTCTCCTGTTCAAGTATGCAAGGCTGTCTCTGAATACATGAGCCTTTTTACACCTGCAGTGAAGGGTGGAACAAACTTTCACCTTCAGAGCAAAGCAGAGCTTGTTCAGTGGAAAAATACAACCTTGGCAGCCCTGGCCATGGAACTGATAAAAAACTCCTGCCTGCTAATCGCAATTCAAACAGAAATCCGCTCCCCGGCAGCCGCTGCAGCTTGTTTATGTGTTTCTTGGAACAATAAAACTCATTACCTGGCAGCTGATCAGCTTTTCTAACCTAAGCAGGCACCTGACAGAGGGGTGCAAGAGAGCTGCTTCAGCACAAAGCCTGCTGTGGAACAGCCAGCCAGGCCAGCAGGGCTGTGCGCTCAGAGAGGCACCAACTGCACTTCCAGCTCTGTGCACATCCCACGTCAGAGAATCATCAAGGCTGGAGGAGACCTCCAAGATCATCGGGTCCCACCATTAACCTGTCACTGCTGGAACCCCTAAACCCTAAACCAGATCCTTCAGCACCAGATCCAAATGCTTCTTAAACACCTCCAGGGATGGTGACTCCACCACGTCCCTGGGCAATATCCCAGTGCCTGAACACCCTCACAGGGAAAACATTTCTCCTAACATCCAATCTGACTCTGCCCTGGCTCAGCTCAAGGCCATTCCCTCTACTCCCCTCCCTGCAGCTATGGCAGGAGAGACATACCCCACCTCTCTCCAACCCTGGCAGGGAGTTGCAGAGAGCCAGGAGGACACCTCTGAGCCTCTTCTCCAGGCTAACCAAGCCCAACTCCCTCAGCCCTTCCCCGTGTTTTCCAGCCCTTTGCTGCCCTTGTTGCCCTTGGCTGGACTCGCTCCAGTGCTTCAATGGCCTTTGGGCAGAGAGTGCCCAAAGCTGAGCACAGCCCTGAGCTGGGACCTCCCCAGTGCCCAGTCCAGGGGGAAAGCAATGACATAGACTGTCCCATCTATTGATATGTCCTTTCCCAAGTCTTTATCATGATCCTTTATTCTCCCAGCTTCACTGCTTTGTTTGTTTGGAATATCAAGGCAAACAGTGCACCCTAGTTTAGGGCTTTGAACTCCCATTTCCCTGGCTCCAACATGAGCTGCTTGTCCCTCTGTGCTAGCAGGACTCAACTCAGACCCATCCCCTCATTTCCAACCCAAGCCCCTTGAACCCTGGCACCCAGCAGGAGCTTGTGTGGGGCTTTCAGCTTATATAAACCCGTAGCTCCACAGTTGCATACATCCCCATGGAAACCGCGAGGAGTTTCCCCTTGGTGAGGACAGCAGTAACATCACTTCCTGCTGCTGACAAACCAATTTGTCATGAAGTGATAAAAAGGCATGTTTTGTGTTTGCAGGAACTGGCTCCAGGCTTTGTTCCTCCCTAGCCAGAGGCAGCTCACCCACCCTGAAGGCAAACAATGACCATTGTGTGTGTGGAGAGCAGGGATGGGGAGACCCAGACAATTCCTTTGGGCCCGCAAAATGACACAGAAGGGACAGCAACACCCCAAAAGTTACAAAGAGAACTCAAGTCATGACATTGTAACCCAACACAGCATGTGATCCTCTATCCAGCACCCATGGATGGGTCTCCACAGCCAAGGGCTGTCCATGGCCAACCCACACAAGGACACAGCACAGGAGCAGTGTGTAATAACCCCAGCTAGATGCAATACTCAGGGGATACAATATACCCAGTTATCACATGACAAACAGACACAGAGCTCCAGATTAGACGTGTCTTGGGTAATCCCCTTGTCTCAAAGCTTTTGCCTTTTGCAATCAGCACTTTGAGAGGTGCTGGGTGTACTCAGGCTTAGGGACTATCCTGTATTAGTCACCCCCAGGATCAGACTAGCAGGGCACAAGGATGTGTGATGCTATTACAGTGCAAAAAAGAACGTTATATCCAGATCACATACAGGCAAATCTAGCTTGCCCAGTTGCCACCTGGGTTTTCTCCCCTCTACTGGCTCCAGGACAGCAGAAAAGGGTACTGAGAGTCATTTGGAGGTGGTGCTGAAGTGCAGTCCTGGAGAATCCACTCTCCAGCCCCACAGAGGAGTCACAGTGAGATGGGGAACGAGGAAAGGTTGTGGTGTGTGACTGTGTAGTGTGGTGAGAACTCACTACACCTCAAACCTCTTCTAAGCCTGTTTCTTAGCCTTTTGCTTGTCCAGCAGCAATGCTTGTGACAGACACCTGTTCCCAGTGCAGCCAATGGCTTTGGCTTCCCCCAAACTGCTCCCACCCAAGGCTGTAAGGAGGTTGGGAAAACAGGTAAAACACAGGCTCAAACCCACTCATGCTGAAAGAACAAATTAGCTCTGAGGCTTGTGCTGCATGTGGCTTCCCACTACACTGTTTGCTATGGTGCACAGCCAAAGGCCACAGGTGTTGGGGGCTGAAAGCCCAGCAGAGAGCCAGGGCCAAGGTGGGGGCTGTTAGCACCCATCAAGGGCATAAAAGGTTAATTGGGACCAAGGTATTAAAGGAGAGAAAGTAGCCCTGAAGTGAGAGACCTGGGAGCTTGGGGAGAGACAGGGGCTCCTGATGTTCTGCTGGTTTGCTTGCTGTTCCTGTGAGGTTCAGCATGGCACTGCTGAGGGTCTGGCTCAGCCTGTGGTTGTGTGACACCTAGTGCAGCCTCCAAAGGATGAATCCAGGTACCTGAGATGAATCAGCTGACTTGCTCTGCCACTGGAGTGGGTAATGGATTCTAGTATTTGAGAGCTCTTTCCCACTTTGGAAATGCAGTTGTCCAAACCTATGTCTGTCTGGAGAGTGGTGCCAAGGTCTTATGTGGACCTGACACTGTTAGTCTAGCACAGAGCAAGTTGGTTCTGTTATTGTAAGACTAGTGGCCAAAATCAGAAGAAAAAGCAGGTTTGGTTTTTATCCTTACATGGTGTGGGACAGCCTGTTCTCTAGATGTGGCTTTGGGGTTTTTCCTCCTGCTGGGAGTTTTCAGTTCCAGGGTTTTCCAGCTGCTATGTGTG